ACGGTCGGCCGGGTGCCGGGCAAAGCCACCCGTCGTTTATCCGCACAAAGCCCTTCTTGATGATAGACCATTGTAGACCATCGCCATGAGAGAGAGAACTAACAGTCGTTAAAAAGAGACGAAAATAGCTCTGAAGAAGCGTGTAAAGAGGTCTTTATCGAAAGTCAATAGGAAGTCTCTCTTTCTCACCTTTACGGTTCTTTCCTATATAGAGTATATCTATATATGTATACGCTGTTCTTCCTTCTTCTACACCCTCGCGGTGAATGCACGAGAAAAAGATAGAGAAAAAGAGGAGCCAGCTGCTGGATTCTCATACCCCGACGGCCGTCGGCCCTCACAAGTGCTGCGATGGACCTCAGCACCGCTGCCTATCGTTACAACCAGAACATGATGGAATATTATACTTGTAAGCCATCCGTGAGAATTCTTAGATCCGACGATGATCTCTAACCAACCAGCAAAAGATTCCTCCTATCCTTCTACCCAATCTTTTTCCTTTTATTTATCTTAAGATTCGTTAACTAGAGGTTGGACCAATAATTTCATTTGAAAAACTAGCAAATTTGTAAACACATCGCGATTTGAGATAAAAAGACGATTTCTCTCGATCGAATCGATTATAAGCAACGAATAGAAAACAAAGTAGAACGATCGAGGAGGCGAAAAAATTTGGCCGATCAAATACCAAAACGATTGGTACGAAGTTTCGTTCGTAAGAAAACGTACAGAAAATACGTATCAATCGGTGTACGGCTGTTGTTCGTTTCGTGATCCCGAATCACGTTCGAAACTCGTGAAAAAACTCTAACCACAGTTGATGCGTTCTCTCATCTACGTACAAAATCATCATTTCAAAGATGAGTTCTTCGATGCCGTTTCTATTTCTTCTTCTTTCTTTCTTTCTTTCTTTCTTTCTCAAGTTTTTATCGTTTTTCAATAAAAATCAAATTGTTCGGAAATGTATTCAATTTGAGAAAAATAAATCTAAATAAGGGAAAAAAAAAAGATAGATCGTTGATAATCTAGAAACAGGCTGCTATGTTAATCGAAAAGATTTTCACGTTGATGTTTAATTAGTAATCAAGGCTAAGGTGTAGATAGTAATGAAGAAAAATTTCAACATTCCTTTTAATAATCGTTTTACACAAGGACGACACATATAGGAAAGGGATCGTTTATAAAGGCGTCTGGTGTGGATCCGGGATGACGTTAATGAAACGATAATAATTATAAAATACGAGCAGGAAAATGGGACCCCATTCGCGCAGATCGTATTCGGTAGCAGCCGTTAAATCGTTAAATCGTTTTGCGATGCGCAATGTAGAGTAATCCTTTCTGATGGCGAGAAAAATAAACTTAATTAGTTGTATTAATGAATCCACCGCTTGTCGCAAATTACCTTACCAACTCATTATTATTAAATGCATGAAAATACATTCTTATAAATACGTGTCATCTTTTCTTTATAATGATGTTGAAAGTATTTGAAAAAAGATAGACATGAAGAAACATGGCGAATATAGCGCAACGAAGTATAATTGCGAACGAATTTTTTTTCTGTCGTATGCAGGTGCGCCTCGAGTAATATATATATATGTGTGTGTGTAATATAATACAAGAACAAAGTAAGGCGCGAGATGCCGATATGAGAAATATCGAGTGACCACGCGAATCTAACGCACGATTCTCAATAACTTTGACTCGAGTTCAGGCTTCTCAGATCAAATTTCCGATCCGTCGGCGAGATGTCGAATCTCGTGGTAAAATGAATTTCACTGATAAAAATGGAAAAGAAAAAAAAAAAGAAAACGATGATCTCTCCATCGTCGAACACGCGTAGGAACGTTTAAGAAACGGAAACACAATGGAGACTCGAGACAAGAGATCGAAAAGTAGTCCGCAGCAGCTCGGCGCACAGCCAGGTCACCTTATTTCTCTCCGTGGAAGCTTCTTATATCGGTGCGTCACGAATCGTGATCGATTAGAAGGGAGTATGATCGAGAAAAATTGTCGAACGTGAAAAAAGCAAGCACGAGCAAAAAACAAAAGTTATGGAGAAAGGGATTTTTTGATGATACAATACATATGCAACGATACAATACATAAATAAATGAACGTACGTTCGTATCGAATTTATCGTCGATAGAAAGAGGAAGGAATATAAAAAAAAAATATGGCAGAATCGATAGGGGGAGGGAGGGAAGAAGAGGAAGGTARAAGTCCTCGTTGGTGAGATCCAGCTTCGTTATTTTCGAACGAGCGAACGAACGAACGAACGGACGATCCGTATTTTGCCGGATACGTTTCACCGCACACTCGATTTTATTCGCGTATTTAAACCGACGGATGTATTCCCAATATACGATCGAGCAAATCGTAATGGATGAAATCCCACTCTCATACCGCTGCGTTCGATTCGTTCGATTAAAACGAGAGAGACACTTTATAATTGGGATCGCTTGGGGTTATCGGCGTCTTCTTCTGTTACTCTCGCTAACTTTCTACGATGACTGGTCGCATCGTCGACTACGCGACGACGATAGGCACGATTCGTTAATAATCTTTCATTTCTTCTACGATTTATAAATAACGAATCGATCGAAACGCCAGATTCTTTTGATCCGGTCTATATACTTTTCTGAATCGTATTCGATTGACCAATAAACAATATCGATACTACCTCTCTCTCTCTCTCTCTCTCTCTCAGTTTTTAACATTAGGTAAGATCAATTAATTATATAAATATAAAATGTATAGAGAAAATCTGTAAAAAAAAGTCGAGATTAATTATTGACGCAACCTAATACACCGAGAGAAAGTAAGATAGAGTAATTAAGTTGTAGTGGGTTTTTTTTTATCTGATGTAGCTATCTATCGATCTATCTATCTTTTCGCTGTAGTTAGTATAAACCTAATCACGTTAATCCGAGCTCGTTATTTTGGTGGAAAATATCGAGAGTTCGATTTATTCGAGTAATAAGTTTCGGTAATACCATTGGAAAGCGAGTGCAAAGCGAGTGCAAACCGAGTGCAAACCGAGTGCAAACCGAGTGCAAACCGAGCGGACTCGGTTTGTTACTTCTCTCTCGGCAAATCGGCGGGGGTGGTCGAGAGGTTGGCAAAGAGAACCCTCGTATAGTTGTGGTCAGCAGGCGTGACGCCGCGTGTGTGAGTCGCGCGTAGGCCAGTCATGGTGCTTTTGCCGTCGAAATGCCACCATGATTCCAGCGATGTCCCCCTGACTACCGGCCAACGCCACGGGGATGCGACCATAAACGCGAAAGCGAATTGATTTGCGACCGGAAAGCGCGTATCGTTTCTAGTAATGATATCGGGGAGTCCTTCATTGTCTTCTCTCTCTCATAGAGAGATACCAACTTCTCTATGTTTGTATCTTTGTTCTTTTTACCAACCAAAAAATAAACTTCAATGCTGAATATATTTGTATCAATGCAGATGGTATACACTTTATAAAGTATTAATGAAATATTCTTCGGTATTCCATGATAAATAATGAAAATTAGAGAAAACGTTTAAAAAAATGAAACAACGAGATCGATCGTTCGCATCGATAAATCAAATCGAAATGTAATCTAGCAAACGCAATTATCCGTGGGTAATTGCAACGATAGATTTCATCGGGGAGGCAGCTCTTGTGCATGTGTAAAGACGTGTTAGTTTGTGTTCGCGCGTGCGTTGACCACGATAACCGCAATGTACGTGATCGGTAACAGTCAAATTAAAAGTAATTGCTTTGATAAAAAAAAGAAAGAAGAAATGAAGAAAATTCGGCAAATAAATCGTGTCGTTTCGTTTGGTTCCGTTCCTTTTCCCTTTTTTTTTTTTTTTTTTGTCGCGGAGAGGGAGAGCTTTTCCAGACGCGAATAAAGAGATAATTTAATGTAATGCGTTGTAAGGGACGATCGGAGTTGGATGAAGTCAGAAGGAACACTCGACGCGTTACGAGATGATCATCGAATCATCGACGCAGCGGCGCGAACACAAGGGCATATGTCACTAGACAGAACCCTCCTCCATTTGCGTTATTAAACTTGGAGTTATAGCGTTCGTCACTCCATACGTGAATTAAGACTATGCGTCTGCGAAATAATGAACATTATTAAATAGCAGTGGTGTTTGTGTCCTACTCCAACAGTTACCTCAAAACTCGTGCCAAAGATCCGTAAGATAAATCGAAAATAAACCTCAGGAACCCGCCTACGTAGTTCCCATGCGAACCAACAAAGTTCTTTCCGAAAATCTCACCGAGTTACAATAATCCCTCTAACGATACTTTCAAGCGGAATCAATTTGAAATGTTATAATAACGTCCCTTTCTCTTTCTTTCCTCCCTTTTTTTTCTCTACTCTCCCTTAGCTTTCTTTTTCTTACCAGGCACGTTCAAAAGAAAAGCGCAATTTTCCGAAAAAGGGGACGATCGGTCACGTTCAATAACTTCCATTCCTCTCTCGCAAACGCGATACAACTTTCACCTGCTTTCTCAACAACGACAATGCTACGTCGAGTTAACCATAATTCGGTTACAATTTAGAAAACATACAGTAACAAAACTTTTCTCAAAAATACAAACAACAAATAAATTTGTCTAAATATACGTCATGAGAAAAAAAAAAAAGAAAATTTCATTTAAATGAAATGGTAAAGAAAGGCCACTTTTCATACTTTTCTTTTTTCCCACAGGATCAAAGTCCAATACGTATCTTTGTAGGAAGTTCGGAGAACGTCGCAAGCTTTAAATCGAAAGCACGAAAGTCTCGCGAGAGTGCACGGAAGGTTGACCCCGAATGATATCTTTCTTTCTTTCTTTCTCTTTCTTTTTCTTTGCTTCCTTCCTTCCTTCCTTCCTTCTTACTTTCTTCCTTTCTTTCTTTCTTTCTTTCTTAGCGTCGTTAGACCATTCTAAAGTACATTCTTAAAGCTCGAGTAGGTAGGATCGTTCGACTCGACTAATGCTCCATCGATTTTCATTTTTCCAGGCCACGGTGGAGTTAACCAGCTTGGTGGTGTCTTTGTGAATGGGAGGCCCTTACCGGACGTGGTAAGGCAAAGGATCGTCGAACTCGCGCACAGTGGTGTCCGACCGTGCGACATTTCGAGACAACTCAGGGTATCTCACGGCTGTGTATCCAAGATATTGTCTAGGTGAGTAATGCTTGCAATCGTCGAAACAAAGTATTCTCGGATCCGAGTGATTTAATTAAAGACGTCGTTAGAAGTTTGAGTAAGAAATAAGGAAGGCTAGGGAAGTAGTAGCGACAGGACCGGAAGGAAACACCCTTCTCTCTCTCTCTCTCTCTCTCTCGGTTGGTGGGGAGACGCGGGGGTGCTAAGGGAGCCGACGATATGCGGTTTCCGTGTTTTTTCCACCCTCTACCCCGCTCGATTATAACGGGTGGCCTCGTGCCGTTTTGATGGGCCGAATGTCATTCTTCCGTCCTAGTCCTTCTCGTCTTTAGAATATCATTGTCATGTATGCGAGCGAGTTCTTTCATGGATTCAATATAATAGATGGATTATATTATTTGTTGCTATTGGAGTAAAAGAGGGAAAGAGAATATTTTACCCTTCATAGGAATAAACCCCTATATATATATATATATCCATTTCTCTTTGATTCTTTTCACTGCATCGATAGCCGGAGAAAATATAAGTAAACTTTGAGTAGCTATATGTTTTTAAATAAGTAATAAAGTATGGAAAAAATATGTAATAAAAAAAAGGTCAACGTCTGGTGGACATAACGAATGTATTCGATGTCATGTCATAGAATTTATACTTGGGGATTTATTACTGAAATTCAATCGCGATCCGCGAGAATACGAGACACTTTTTTTTCTCTCACTTTTTTACTCCAGGCATCTATATATGCTATACCTATGTGCTTATGAATGTAGGTATGTAGGTAGATATTCGGTTAGGTATGCGGGTATGTGTTTCCTATAGGTCTAACAACGCTCAGGCCCGTAAAAGTTAACAGTTATAAACTTAATCGACTGTTATCCAATATCCATTTATCGAATACGAACGCGATACTAGAAAGGGCGGCAATGAATAGAACGAACGACTATTGCATGTTGCACACACATGTATGTATGTACCATCGATAAGTACTTACTTTCAATACGACAAAGAAAGATCGAGAGTGAACGCAATTTTCTCTTCTTATTGGATCGATAGCTTCGACGTTGTGAATTGCAATTTGAACGTGGACGAAATCGATCGCGACTAGGAAAAATAAAAAAAAAAAACAAAGAGAAAGACGACGAAACGATTATCCATGCGGTCGTATGGATCTCATCGATGAAATTACGATTTCCTAAATGATTTATTTAGAAACCAACGGAAATAGTCCGGTCGACGAATTAATCGATTGTTCGTAAAAGCACACACTCTATTCAATTGCATACTTTCGTTTTGGTTACTCGTAAGTTCACGAAAAAGTCTAAGCTAAAAACATTGTAGGAACTATTCCACGAAAAAAAGGAAATAACTTTCGTTCGCAATTTCGTCGACGAGTTATGTACTAAAAATAGAAGAAGAAGAAGAAGAAGAAGAAGGAGAAGGAAGAAGTGGCAAGAGACGATAAATAACAAAAACGGATGCAAGTTGTACAATTTTACGGCTGGAGAACGTTCGCGCCATGCCGAAAGGCTTTTTGGGAGAAGGAAACAGCGTTAAAACGCAAGAGGTTGCCGTTTTACGCAGTCACGCGTCGGTGATACACCTCGTAAGTACGCGTTCTCTTTCGTCTTCGCGGAATTGTCTGCACTGGCACCGAATTGCCACCAAAACGCCACGAAAACGCTACCGAAAAGCTACTCTCTAACACGCGGGACTTGTTCAATAGGTGAATTCTCCGATCGAAATGAGAGAAGCTCGTAAAAAGAGCCGCGCGTAGTGTTGAAAAGCTTGTGCACTAGACCTTTACAGAAGGATAAACATCTACCGCTTTTTAGGCAACAAAAAGAGACCCAAAATTATTTGGTCCAGACACAAAGAGTTCTTCCTCTGCTTCTTCTTCTTCTTCTTCTTCGTGGTAAAGCTAAGAGTAAATCGGTTTATCTTTGTATGCAGTTCAAGTTAAAAGAATTTCTATGTAATACTTTGCTAAATGTTCAAGGATTTCTCGTTGCACAAATGAAATCATTCGTAACTATAAAAAAAAAAAAAGAAAAAAAATATTCTAAATTTTCGTCATAAATATTATTTTGAAACTGATATTTATTGCCATTGATCATTATTATGATTTACGGTTGAAATGATCGTGATCTATCTACGACAATGATTTAGAAGGAGGAAAAAGTATACGTTTATATCGGGCGAATAATGAAAGTGTAGTGAATCATACGTGAACCTGTTTCGAACGCATTTAAATCGAAATTAAGCGAGAGCACTCGGTCGATTTGAAAAATCGTACGATCTAATGACCATTTCACGCGAGGGAGCCCGAAGCAGAACAAAAAGAGAAAAAGTGAGTTGTTACAAAGCGAACGGCATAGATCAACAGAGATAGAGAGAGTGAGAGAGTGAAATGTCAACGGTTGAGTATTGCCATGTGTGCTTGGAATGGGGTTTTACGCCAGATATAATCGTATCTAATAATTTCGAAGGGTTCCACCCGTGACCTCCACTATTTAAGGGTGCCAGAACGCTTTTATAACAGCAGGTTCAAAATCCAACGTTATTCTCAATAATTCTCGCTCTTGTTCTCTTTTTCCCTTTTCCTTTATCGTGTAGCTATTACAATAAATATTGGATCATTAAATTCGTGATCGGCATTTGCAATACGATGGTTGGTTGGTATATTACATCGAATAACTGACCAATTAAATAGAAATACTTTTGTCGTAGGTAATAATGTTTTTGTCATCGAATCATTCGCAGTTGATTTCACGCGAAGCGTTCGGAGAAGTTTCTTAGTTCTCGGTTCTCAAGAGACATATCGAGAGATAAAGCGAGAAGCAAGAGACGACAAGTTGAAGTGTCGATAATCGAATTTTAGCGTGGTAGATCAATTTCTGGTTTCTCCGTGTCTCCCTCGCCGAAAGTAAGAACGGTGTTAGAAGCTCGCTAGGGGACGGCTCCATTCGCCGTTAGCGCTTTCCTTCGTCGAAATCATATTAGGCTTTGCCATAACCATAAGAACGCATTAATGATCCCACAGAACCAACCGACAAAAAAACAGAACATACCGAAAATCTACGATATCATTTTCAGAATAATCTTTTACAAACTCAAACAATTTTTGATTGGATGTTATTGATAACGCTGTGTAGAATTATTTTCATTTATTCAAAGTGAATGGTAGTGAGGCGCGTTCGCAAAATAAACGGACTAGAGAAAAGGGAGCAAATATATATCGAGAACGAATAGGAGAGAAGCCGAGCGACGGACCCACATCCATCAAGGCGGCCCACAAGCGGACCATTATTGCGGGCTTTCTGCCGTAATTGAATTTAAGCACGAGCGAAGATATTATTTAACTAATTAGGCACAAAGGGCGCGTTCACGGCGGTCCAATCGCGATCGTCCATCGCCGTTCCTATAACCGCGGGTGGCTGCCAGAGAAAGAGAGAGAAAGGGAGAGAGAAAGGGAGAGAGAAGGGGGTAGGCCAGCAGGGGGCAGAAGCAGTTTGTTTTAAAACAGGCGGCCGTTGACGCACCGTTGGACGACTATTCGTTATTCCAACCTTGGCTGACTGCCTCTCCGGAAAAATGCGCAATCTTTTCTCTTTTACCCTTTTCTCTTACAAAAACTGAACCTTTGATTTTGTTTTTTATTTTCTTATAAAATATCAAATAATTTGAATTTGGTTTGAAAACACACAGGTATTACGAAACCGGTAGCTTCAAGGCTGGCGTGATAGGTGGTTCGAAACCTAAGGTAGCAACGCCGCCAGTGGTCGATGCTATCGCTAATTACAAGAGGGACAATCCAACGATGTTTGCTTGGGAGATACGAGACAGGTTGCTAGCCGAAGGGATTTGTTCGCAGGACAACGTACCCTCTGTTTCCTCGATCAATCGGTAAGTAAAAACGTGTATTACATATCTAATCGATCTCTTGAAAATCTCCTAATACACCTGAACCCCGCCTCCCTGCCATAGAAACAAAAGACAGTTTTCTCCGGAGACCTTTTTTAAGGGATTCGATCATCGAAATCGCTCGACATATGCTTCGCTCGAATCACCGATGGGAACGAGCGATTAGTCGTAGGACTTTTGTGCTACCAGCAACACCCTCGGCCACTTCATTTTGAACAAGTGTGCATCGAGATAAGTGTACAACACAGACCAATTCGACACCCCCGATCCTATTGACCTTTCGCAGGTTCCTTCGGGAATGAGCCGATTAATTCGAGTGTTTTTACGTCGCGTCGTCGTGGCTCGGGTCAGCGGCTCAGAGTGGAACACTAGTAATACTACCTACGACTTCGAAGGGCCGTCCTACAAAGAGAACAACAGGGGAACTAACTCCCATGAGACGGCATTACAGCGTATCAGCACCGCACAAACTGAACAACTCGGCTGCTGCTGCCGCTGCTGCTATTGCTGTTGTTGCTTTCCCCTTTCCCTTTTTTCTCTTTCTCTTTCTTTTCGTTTGGAATGGAGAGGAGAGAAAGATAAAGGGAGACGGAAGAAAAGCCATTGATCGACTCGCATATGTCCCGAGATTTAATCAGTCGCTACTTAAGACCTTATCTCCTGTCTCATCCGCCTCATCTCTCGTGTACTTTAGCGTGTTGTTACAGTCCCTATTCCTGCTAGCCCTACAAGTGGATAACTGATAATCTAATCGAGCGTAATGCGGATCGAATTTCCTACAAGCGAGATCAACTAATTCGATTTCCCTGGACTTGCTAATGGAAACGTACGCAAATGAGTTTAACGCGTTGACGAGCATCCAAACCACTAATTTAACATTCTACCTTCCTCTTTTACTTTTATCCTTCGAATATTCCTTCTCAATCTTAACCTAATTTCTAAGTATAGGGAATGACGTAAAAAAATAAATTGTTAAAGACGAATAAAATAACATTCCACGATAAATCGTAGAAATTTGTTGCGAACACGTGAAATCGTTAGAACGAAATATAAAGAGATAAGAAAAGTGTGAGACTGTAAGGGCCATCAAGATCTAAATAATATTACGACTTGACGTTGAGAGGGATGTAACGGACGATAAAGTTTCGTCGATTCGCGGACACTTTCGACGGTCATGCTATGCGCCAGACTTCTTTCGGTTTGCTTACGGTTATTTTCATTCGTTCCTGAGTAAGAGAAACACAGAGAGAAACGCAGAGAGAAAAAAAGAGAGAGGGGAAAGGATAAGCTCGTATTCAGAACAGCGTGAAAGCTAGGCGTATGTAGCTACAGAAATGGCTTTTTGGCCAAGCATTCGATGCGTCTTGGAAGGATCTAGTAGTTGAGGGTGCGCCGGTGGCTTGTTGCTCGAGTGACTCCTCCACCTCTCTCTTTTACACACACTCGCACGCGCACTGTGTCTCGCTTCGGTAGTCCCTGTCCTTCTCTCTCTTAGATCGTCGATCCTTGTTCTTGTTCCAAAGCCTCCTCGTGGCCCTCCTCGTGGCCCTCCTCGTGGCCCTCTTCGAACCAAGGTCCAGATGGCGGGTATTGATCTGAATCCGGAGAGCAGATCGCCTGGAAAAACTTAACCCGCGGATACTTACCTAGCTACTACCTTTCTGGTACACCCTCTACGTGAGCCAGTCATCTTATCTTTTCTTCTTCTACTACTCTCTCACGTACGCTAGACGTGTCCGCAAGCTTCCTCAACTGTGACTAGGTAAACGTATTTCTTTTCGAAATAAACTATAGCTAGTTGTAAAAGTTCGATGAGTCGTTCTTCTAGTTGCTAACAAGAGATTTTTTTGACCACGTTGAAATTCCATTGGTGGAAGAAACAGAGAGACATAGATATGATCGCAAAGTCCACCCCCAGCTCCCTGTGATTTCTACCCATACCATACCCATTAGGAAAGCACGACTCGCTTTTTCCAAACTACTTTTCCGGACGAAGAAATAATGATGGAGTTAATATAAAGTATTGTCCTGTTTTGTCGTCGGGCCACTTTCGAACGAGACGATCCACGAAAAGCTTGCTAGCTAGTTACCAAAGAGGAAGATGAGTAGAGGAAGGAGTTGGGGTGACACGAAGGACGTCTTTGCTGAGAAAAAAAAAGTGCACAAAGAAAAGAAGAGAGAAAGAAAGATATAATGGAGTGGTTTTCGCGAAAAATAACGGTTATATATCGCGAGTATGAGACAGATTTGAGGATAGGATAAAAACAAGGCGAAAAATGAGAAGAAGATTGTACGCTAACAGTTCCGAGCTTCTTCTTCATCGTCGTCTACTTTTTTTCCTCTTTTCCTTCCTCCTCCTATTCCTCTTCCTTAACCTTCTTCTTTTATACGAATGAACCAAGTGATTTTTCTTGTTCGCTTTATTTCCTTATTATTTCATAGTCAGCACTCGTCCTTCGAAAATAATATTACCGATTTTCTATCTTTTATTACTCTACAATATCTAGAGCTTTTGACCAAATTATGCATATTTATTTTTTACTTACATTATTAATCTGTACTTTAAAGTGACGAACGAAAAGATCTTTCTAGAGCTTAGAGCACTTTACCGACGTCTTCGTGGAAACGAAAGAAAAGGAGAATAAAAAAGGAGGTACGGAGGAGGAAGGATTTCGGGAGGAAATATTGATAGGCTCGACTTTGGCTGCGGAGTCACGCTCGAGTAGGTGGCTCTCTGCTGAGGTCTATCTTATACCTATACCTATATATATACATCCAAACCACCGCCAAAAAGAGAGAGAGAGAGAGAGAGAGAGAGAGAGAGAGAGGGAAAGACTCACCACTCTAGGTTGCTACTACACTACTCTGTAACCCTCTTATTCTCTCTCTTACTCTTCTCTTCGTCTCAGGGGCAGATCGATAAGGAGCGAGGTTTGCCCGAGGGCTTTACGCCGGGTTCACAGCCTCCTTCTTCTCGTTTCCTCGAGCACAGCCCCCGACGACGTTCTGCTTTAGCGTGCTTCTCTCTCTCTCTCTCTCTCTCTTTCTTTCTTCCTCTCTGTCTTCGTCTCTCTCCTGTGGTTTCAACGAAGTCGATATCCTAGAAAGGGAGAAAGCCTCCCTTAACTTCCTGTTGTTCCACCGGAACATCCTTCGTCCTAACTCCTGCCACGGATCCGACGATCTTCCGACGAGATAAATCTTATCCTAAAGACGAGCAAGCCATAACAGCTCCTTCGAAAGAATAGTTATCGCCATCTTATTTTAACTTTCGAACAAAGCCTCAACTTAAGCTTCGGTCTATTTCAACTTACTAAAAAGAACGAATAGAAATAATAATCTGTCTTATATTTTGGAGAAAATTGACGAACGCCATTTTAGTTCTCCTCAAATTCTTTGTCTTGATAGGAAATCGCGAAGAAAACGTTAGACTCATCGATCAAGTACTACACATCTATAATTCGACGTAATGATCGGTAGAGTTCGACAACAGTTGGTTGAAAATCTGTCGTAGCAAATCCAGAACTGGAATCGTATCAATCTGTCATCGAGCTCTCTCTCTCTCTCTCTTTTGGGGTAGGAGAAGGAGGAGGAGGAGGGAACCAGTTAGTTCTTTTTTCTTGGATGCTATCGTACCGGTCAATCTCCCGCGGAGGCGCAAGCAAACGGGGTCCATTACTTCCATATCATTTCTCACCCTCGGAATTCACAGACTTAGTTTCGAATAAGAGAAAGAAAGAGAAAGGTAATGCGTATGTGTGTTCTCGCGTTGAGCCATATGGCTCAAGTGGTATATACGAGCTCTACTACTACTTTTACATTTGGGGATACGACCAATGGGATACAACAACGAGACTGCTACTTTCATGCCACTTTCGGCTTTCCGGATGGCGCTTCTTTCTTCTCTTTTTCTTTCTATATCTTTCCCTTTCTCTATGCTCTATCTCCCTGCTCATCTTTCGCTTATTAAATTACGTCCTCATAAATAACGTTGCCTACCTAGAACGTAGCCTTATTTACCATTCCATCGGGTTCAGGAACTCCCCTTCTTCCCTGGGACGACGAGCCACCGTCAAATCGGCATTCGTCATCCGTTTCCTTGCTTTGCAGGGGGGTTGGGACAACTACGGGACTCCAAGACACAGGACTAGGTTTCTTTTCTTTTCTGTCATCGAAGAGACTAAGATAATACGTCTGCTCGTATAAAAAATCCATTTCTCATATGGCCGACTCTTTGCGGATTGCTTTGGCGAACTAACGCGGTTTCTCTCTATCATTTATCTCTATCGATATATTATATACTCCAATCGTAATATTAATCGGAAAAAAAGGCAAAGAAAAAGATAGATTTTTGCAAGGATGGGAAGATAGTTAAAAAAGAGAGTTCGAAGGAGAACAATATGGTGTATCGCGGTGGTGTGCCTCGTTAAAGCGGCCATATTTGCCGAGGGAGGGATGAAACGGGTAGAGTAGAGAGAGAGGCTTCTACCTTATTCGACGGCACCCTCAAGGGTGGGCGGAGGATGATGCTTCGAGGTTGTGGCTGTGGCGGTAGCAGCGCGTATCCATAACCGTCCTTTGTCTGGATAACGCAATTATTACCGCGTTTCATCATACCCTCCCGCCTAAAATTAGCCTCAAATGAAGTTACAATTACGGGCCCTCTGCTGCTGCTATCTCTACCCTCTGTTCCTCCTCTCATCCTCTCGTCTCATCCTCTCGTCTCATCCTCTTGTTTCTCTCCCTGAACAAGAGGCAACGACGACGAGTGTTGGTCGGGTACGAGAGACCAGGTATGAGAGAAAGAGACTTTCGGCTTTCTGCTCGACGACATTTCGACGAAGGACGAGGACGAAGGATAACAATGACGAAGAGAAGAGGAGATGAGGATGTCGCCCGGGACACGAAATCCAGGTTGCCTTGGAAACGTCAGAGGACAGACGGAACCGCAATGAAACCGGATGGTCGCTTCTACTCTCTCT